AAATGATAGTCTGTGAACGGTAGTTCAGTTCACTTTGTGATGGAAGTAATAGTCTGTGAACGGTAGTTCAGTTCACTTTGTGATGGAAGTAATAGTCTGTGAACGGTATTTCAGTTCACTTTGTGATGGAAGTAATAGTGTATGGACGTCAGTTCAATCTTTCTTCACTTTGTGATGGAAGTAATAGTCTAACGTGGCGGTTCTGTGTTGGTTTATTGTTTTAAGAATGAAGGATAATATGTTTAGTCAACCAGTGGACTATGTATGTTACTTAATTACAGAATATACGAGTTAAACCGGCCGATATAGATCATATATCGGTTAAACCGGTTGATATTGACCTGTAGCCACCCTTTTTTTTAACTTGGTAGACTATTTTCTCTAGCCTATAGGAGATTGTTTTTTTATATACAATTGGATTGGTTGTCTGACGTCAATGTACGTCACTGTTAGAGTGTAATTAAACGACCTCCACTTGGAGCTAAGAATAAACCGTAGTTGTTGTGGAAGGTAGAGCGTGAATGAAATGAGAAAGACCTTACGTAAACTTTGCAGTGGCGATCTTTATGGGGAATGATACCCAACCCCCTTATATGTCGACCAAGTGTACCGTATAGGCAGTGTTTATTGTCACATTTGTCTAACCAGGCTTTGTTGCTAGGCTAACATATCAAGTCAGTGTGAGCGTCTCTCGAGTCGTCCCCGAAATTGAACCTTAAACTAGGTGTTTTGTTGTTGTTGTTCTAATCACGGAGTATATCCAAGGAAAGTGTTACGCATGTACTTCGTTTCTGCTGTTAATGAAATGATTTCAATTCATCGAGGGGGTTTGATTAAGGTGAGTTTGTTGGAAAGGTCGTTCTGAGTTGTGTGGTAGTTTTATATGAAGAATTATTTGTTTGTTATGAATAAAACCATAGAAACTTAGTTCGTTACAAGAGCAGTTATAAGTATGGATTATCATTAATCATACAGTTAAACTATACGTTTTACGGTTGACAAATTAACCATGAAACTTTACGCTTCATGCACTTTAGCTAGAAGCACTCTTAATGGTTAGAGAATCGGGACTGTAAAAGTGAAGAATTATGGTTCGTTTCTCGTTACCACAAAAACACGATTTGTACAATAGGTCTGTAGGTGTGTTGTTAGTGACGGTTTTCGGTAAACAGAAACAGCCTATGAGTTAGTAGTGGGTGCTATTGACTGGTTACCTTTCCAGGAACAGCCTATGAGTTGGTAGTGGGTGCTATTGACTGGTTACCTTTTCTTTAGCAGTACATAATTAAGGATGCATTTGTGTACATTTGCTTGGTAATTCCAAAAAATATACAAACTGGCAAAACTTAAGTCTGGAGTGCTGTTCATGGAAAAATACCCCTATATTAAACCATCTCGTCACAAATGGATCTGACAAGTAGAAGAAATACCATGTAATTAAGAACAAACAAAAAACGAATTTAATGATTGAGGATGAGAAGTGGAAGAAATACCAGGTAATTAAAAACAAAGATAAACGAATGTAATAATATTAGGATGAGAAGTGGAAGAAATACCAGGTAATTAAAAACAAAGATAAAAACAAAGGATGGGAAGTGGAACAAGTATCATGTATTTATGAACAAATAAAAACGAATTTAATAATATTAGGATGGGAAGTGGAACAAGTACCATGTATTTATGAACAAATAAAACGAATTTAATAATATTAGGATGGGAAGTGGAACAAGTACCATGTATTATGAACAATAAAACGTAATTAATAATATTAGGATGGGAAGAGTCACAAGTACCATGTATTTATAGAAACTAAAATAAAACGAATTTATATA